TTTCCATGGAATTGTCATATAAAATGTTTTTTGACCAATAGTCCAGAAGCCTTGGTTTCTTGCTAAGGTCCATCCAAAACTATACTCCCCAAAATCGATCCATTTCTTGAGAAGTAACATCATACCACTTTTTTAGTTAGCAGTAGGGTTTGATTTTACCCTTTTGTAAAGTCTGACTTGAATAGATATCAGTTTCCTTCACCATGTAGTCAATAACATCATCTGTTAGAAGAATTTGAAAAAAAAAATCATAAGGTGTATTTTCATAGAGATTTACTGCAATTTCAGTTGGAACAACAGAGTTTACTTTCAACAAAGTCAAAAATCTTCATGTTACTTACTGACACTGGACCCCAAGTAACAGAACTTACACTAGTCACGACAGGTTCTTCAGAAACATCTGATGAAGAATCACTCTCACTGAAATCAGCTACAACTGCTTCAATTGTTTCAGTAATTGATTTTGAACAACCTTTCCCACTGAAAAGATCTGCATGTAATGTTCTTCTAGTTTTTCTCGGAGGGCTGCAACTGCTATCAGAACTGTCACCCGCGATCTCCACTAGAATGGCACTCTGCTGAGTAATCACTAAATAAATGAACATCTTCATCATTCATGTCCAAAACTTTGTTCACCATTTCCTCCAATAATTCTTTATACTCATTTTCCCTAGAGATTTTCTCTTGAGAAAAACAAATGCAAAATAAACATACATGGCAGCTCTCTTCACAGAAGCTACACTTGCTTCAGTGGCCCACCCAAGTGCGCCAGATCTGCTGGACTGTATTCTCCAATTACCATAACTTCTGATTGCGTATTTCCTCTTGAATGTTTGCCTGGTTGCTCTGTGAATGAAACTAATAGGATAGTATGTGACATTGTTGCACATACTTGGGGAGTATGATTCAGAGGTCATCATCCAGGACTACCCAAGGTCCACTCCAGACAGAACTAAATACTGAAAGGGATGGCTGGGCTGGGTATCCAAAGCCTAGAGGAGCCACCATGATGGGGGTGATGGAAGGTGGCCCCTCAGCTTGAGGATACACCTGCCTCCTGGCTGGGTCTCCTTGGCAGGGGCGTGGCGTTGCTCAGCAGTCAAGAAATGGATGTTCAAGAGGACCTTAAGGACCTCTCCAAAGCGTCATTAGGATCTTTTTATTCAGGATGTAGTGCAGATATAATTTACTCTGTGTATGAGTCCTTTCTGTCCTAGCCATTAATGCTCCTTGTGAACTGGTATAGCCCATCCTCAGTTGTATTACTTGTGATTGTCCTTGTATTCACAATTGGTGAGGATTTCTGTGTTATTGTGAGCTGAGTACAGGTAATTGTGAAGAAAAGGCAGGAAGGGTAGTAGAGAAGGGATAGTGGAAGAGGGACAGACCAGATCCTGATCATAAAGAACCTTGTGCACAATACTACAAAACTGAATCTTATCCTAGAGGTGAAAATAAGTCATTAAGCACTTTAAAGCCAAACTGTAATCATTTTATATTTTGAGATACTCAATCTGGCAGCAGTATTGGGGATCAATTAGAGAAACTTCAGTCCAGTGGCAAAGAGATCAGGTAGTTAAAGGCCTTAATTAGTTCAGATGAGAAAGTACAAATGTCTAAAATAATTTAGTGACTCTGTAAACGAAGGATAGAAGATATATTTAAAATATATAAATGAGTTAAAATTGACTTTGGGTTTTCAATTCAGAGGACAGCAATGAAGCAAAAAGAGGTTTATGATGACATGGAGCTTCTGACTAGAATGTTAGGTAGGAAATGGTGCCATTAAAGGCACCATTTCTTAAACATAAGAAAAAAGCTGCTTGGAAAGGAAAATTTGAGTTCATTCTTGGGTAGAGTAAGATTGAGTTGTCTTTGAAATAAACAATTATAGGTTTTATATGATTATGGAAATATAAATATATTACATGTTCTTGGAAAATAAATATTTTTACACTTACCAGTAGCACTGATTACCTAAATGTAAATTATTCCTTTGGAAAAAGATTAGAATGAAAAAAGCACAAGAGTATAAATCAATAAAACATTATTGTTTTATGGTGACTAAAACAATTATTTTTCTGTTGAAGGATTCAAAATAACTTTGAGTTTGTCCAAACCATTCCCATTTTTCCCACACCACTAATTTTTATAATAAACCCAAAAGAAAGGTATTTTATGGAGAGAAGAGTTTTAAATACATATCATATAATTTTTAATAGTTTGATACTTACATTAGACTTTCTGTTTAAAAATTTTGTACTGTAACTAACAATTTGCTATTTATTATTTACAACTGTGCTGGGTTTATTTTCTCTTTTCCCTGAAGAAGCCTAAACTGTGAATGATATGTGTTAGTACTAAATCTCTTTTAAGAAAAATCTCACATTTGACAAAAATATGTGCTTCAGATTGTCTCTGAAGAAATATAATAATAGAAATAAGTTGTTGCCTACCAATTCCTTTTTCAGTATAAACTTTTACCTTATTTCCAGTTCATCAAAGGAATCATCTCTCTGGGAAAACAAAGACATAGCAATGCTAAAAAGAATCACTGGATTTTCAAGGTGAAAAGACCTTAGAGATGGTTTAATGCAAAGCCTTCTTTTTTGCAAATGAGGAAATTGAGGCCAACCTAAATTCATATAGCTTGTTTAATGGCATTTCCAAGTTAGAAATACCATCTTCTGGTTCTCAGTGTAGTGCTCTTTTGATTATCCTGTGCTGTGGTCCACTTTGTGACACCTCTGATAGAGGGTTCTCATGAAGTGTCTATGTATGACTCACAGTGTTTCCAACAAAAATACTTTCCCTGCAGAAAAATGCCTGCTAAGGATTCTGTTATTAAGAGCTCCACTGGGCAAGGGGTCTCTAGACAGTATACTGCACAAAGTGTAATGAGCTATATAACACCTCCATTCTCTAGTAACATGGATGCTTTACAATGTAGACTTTTAAAATGAAGACTTTAAGCAAGCATTTCAGCTGTCTACCTTCTGCACCTCATCTCATGCATGAGACAGGATCTATACCCTGTCACATTCAGCAATGTTATGTTTTAGGACAACAGGGGATGTTTCCAGAGAGTTGGCTTTGGTTGTTTACACCACATTTTTTTTCTTTTTTCCTTTTATAAATCAGCATGATAGCTTAGGTCCTTTCTGTAACTGAGCAACTGAACAAGGCCTCAATGTACAAGCTACATTCACAGCAGTAGTACAAAATGTCACTGAGATGTCACCCCCAGACCTCATTCAATTCTTGTAATAAATATTCTCCATTTTATGTCCCAAAGGCTGTGTTAGGCATTGTTCTCTAATGTTATCAGTTGTGCTAGATGAACACCATTCTTTGAATATTTCAGAATGAATTCATGGTGAACTTGTAAATTTCTGTGGACAAAAAATAAAGCTATCAAAGTAAATGTAATACTATAATAAACAGCATCTATAGGAGATTGAAATGAGATCCTGTAATTTCTGTACAATGAACATTTGTCTCTGGTTTAAATTTCAGACTCTCAAATTAAAATCACTTTGACTATGTTGACTTCCATTGATCCAAAAAGTCACCATACAACAAATAAATGACAATTAAAGCCAACTCATTATTGTTACTAAATGTCTATAGGTTGCTAGGATGTGTTTATGGAGTACAATCCATTATTCAATAATTTTTCAAATGTCTTCTATTTGTATTTCACTACTATTGCTTTCTTATCCACAATAACCAAGTATGTTTTCTCAGATATGGAATGCTAAAACTATTTTACATTAAAGTGCACATTCCTTCTGTTCATATTCCCTTGGACTACACAGAAACAATGGTGATTTCTATTCATATCAACTAAATGTCATTCACTTTTTATATTTTTTTTATTTTAAATGCTTAGAGAACATATGCATTATTTATAGCCTTGACTTAATATGTAATCTTTAAAAAGAAAACAGATATTTCCATGCTGATTTCATAAGCCTATTCTAAAATTAAATACTCTAATTTTGTTACCCAAAAAAATTTTATAGTAACGGAAAACCATAATTGTGTTTTTAATCATACTCATAATTGGAAGCTAGCTTTATAAGATAACATATTAATTTGAATATGTACTTCTCTCAGTTAATAAACCCCTCTTTCTTTTTCTCCAAACCTACCAATTTTGAATAGACTAACTCCAACCACCTGTCATTGGTACAGCAATAGACATGGTTGCAATGTCTTGATATCAATTGAATTCGTGACACTGTGTGTGTATGTGTGTGTGTGTGTGTGTGTGTGTGTGTGTGTGTGTGTGTGTTCGCTGACATATTTTTATAACCAGATTGAAGCACAAACAGGTGGGGTGATCTTTTAAGCTCCTTCTGCTGCTGCTATAATAGCACTTCCTATATTTCCAAGTATTTTTGAATGTTCTATTTGATCATTTCCAATGTGAAAATATGTTGCCTATTTTCTATAATAATAAGAATAAAATGGAAAAGTGAAAAATATAAAACACAACTGTGTGATAAAAGCTGAAGTTAGTTACTGAGTGTTAAAATAAAACAAATAGATCACCCAGGACAATAAACATAACTGCTTTCCCAGACAAAGGAAATAAGTTGAATTGAGTGAGGCAAAGCAGTCATTTTAGCTGAAGCCAGAATATATAAATATAGCAGGTGACAAAATGCCAAAAAACAAAACAAACAAGCAAAAATGGGCAGGAAGTAAAGAAAATGAAGAGAGGAGAAATACATTTCACACTTTGGTAAGGAAGAGATGCCTTGTCAACAGCATTCATGACAACAGGAGTCAAACAATGGCATGACAACATAGCACTGGGAGTGTAAGCACTCCTGGTAAGGAAGCATCTGGAAGCTTAGATACATAATCTTATTCAAGACTCAAGTCGTGATAGATTTTAGCTATGAACACCTGGTATAAAGGATCTGGCAATATAGCAGGAAGAACTTCAGAGCCCTTCTGGGTGAGAGTGGAGTAGGGGATCAACTAGAAAGAAAAACAGAAAAATGGGAAGAAGGAGAGAGAGAGAGAGAGAGAGAGAGAGAGAGAGAGAGAGAGAGAACGGATGGGCTAGCCATTCCTTTCAATGAGCACACCCTGAGTGAGAGTGAGTTGAGAACTGTAAATCTGCTCTCATTGTCCATTTCACTTTATTCTTAATGTTTAAACATTTCTAGTGTTTAAAGATACAGAAATATTAATTGTAATTACAGTGCACATTTTATATATTCTATGTTTATACACATCACACAAATCCATTTAGCTACTCAATTCATTGTTTAAACATATATGCATAATCACTTATTCTATAGTTTTTAAGTAAATAGGAATGTTTTCAGGATGCTTTTTCAAGGAAATTCCCATTTTCTTACTTATAGAACTAACTCTTGTTCCAGCCCCTATCCTCCTATCAGACAAGAGCATACTACATAGTGATATTTAATGACCTTTAGGTGCCCTTAGATATTTTGAGGAGATTTCTGAATGTCCTTGAGTCATAGTTTGATCTTGTTCTTTTGCTCTCATAGTCCAGCATTCAAGGTTGTTGCATGAACTTTCAGCAAGTCAAGTAGGATTTTCTCACTGTGCCTTGATGTTGGCTGTATCTAGACAGAACTCAGAAATGGAATAATTGTAGAGAAAAATCTCTTGGGTCTTTTACAACTCTAATAGACACTAAGGCTGTTCTCTGTGCTCTTTTATATCCTTTAGTGAATTGATCTATTCTAATTTATTTGAAGAAAATATTAACTAAGTACCACCTCTATGCCTGTATTTGACTAGATATCCAATATACAAATGCTACTCCTGTCAGCTAAGGCATTCCACCTTTCCCCACCACTGTAACAACAATAATCTTTTCTCAAAGAAAACGGTGCCTATCTACCTCATATGTTCCTTATTAAACTTCTTCTATCTTGTGGGATCTTCCTTCCATCTGAGCCCTGCTATTATCTAGGACTAATTTAGCAAAGAAATTCAATTAAGATATCAATAAAATGAGTTTGAGTGCTTATTTGTATTGTAAGAAATAGATTCTATTAATATAATTAAAAGTGGTAAGAACATGCATGTCAGATTGTCCTCAGGGTTTTACAAACCTAACCCTTCAGGGGATCTACTCCTTATCATTTAGAATATCCTTGCTTTACCACTATTACTGAGAGAAAAATGTGCTATTTTTCAGGTACGCTGGAGTGGATAAATGTCTGAGAGCTAGTGCCCTTAGTAGCTCACTATGATGTCTTCATGTCAATTGGGAAATCATTTTGAGAAAGGCAGCTTTTAAGAGAACTGTTAAAATCATACCTTGCTATTTTGCTACGGGCAAAGTTGGTAGAAACAGGGTTGAAAAATAAGGATAACAAGATGATCAGGCTAAGGCCTGGTGGTTTGATAATACCCTGTGCAACTTCCTTTGGGTGCTCTTCAGTCTGCAGAAGAAAAAATAACAAGGATATTTGATCTAAAATTGTTTTTTAAGAAATAGATAATCTATCATTTAAAAAAATTAAATGCAAATTGAAATATAAAATCAAAGTAGCTGATGTCCATTGATAAGCAATTTGTCTTTTGTCTCTAACTGAATTAAATGATAGAGTCCAGAATAGAGATATAGGTTCACATTGACCTCCACCATGGAATATGAGTTGGAAATTTGAAATGAGTAGACATATAAGTTATTATTTTCAGAAACTAAAATAACTAAAGTTAAAACTCCTCCCTTTATGTTTTTAGAAAGGAAATAATAATTGAAATAAGAGTTCTGGGGTATCTGTTGAATTTTACTTCCAGAAAATATTTTATTCTCATAATGGAATACATACTTCTCATTTGTACTAAAGGGGTTCACCAAAATTTCATTTCTACAAAAATATTTTCTAATCAACTAGAATCGTTTACATAAATCTCAAGAACTTCATTAGCAAAAGTATCTATTGAGAATACTTGTTTTTACATCTCCATTACTGAATAGTATGTCATAATCAATAAACACTTGGAATGTTTATGTTGTAGAATAATCCATATTTTCATAGACGTATGTCAGTGTTGTCATTTGCGTATAAGAATACTCTGTGTAAGTCCTTTAGATGTCTCTTATGATTTCTTAGAGTCAGCAAAAAATGAATTACTGACTTTTTTTTTATCTTTTCATATGGACTTGTTTTAAAGTATGCATTGTATAAGGGAATGGAAATGTAACTCCTAGTCCTCTCAGATGTTGCAAATCATAATACTATTAATAATATGAGACATCAGGAGAGATTAAGGAGTCTCAGAAATTTTTCTTCCCCAAGAAGAAAACTAGCTGGGTGAGGACTGAATAAACTATATAATTCTCATAAATTCATTATCACATGACAAAAGGGAGTAGAAATATTGGCATATTTTTTATTCTCTTCAATTATATATTTATTTTATACAACTTGTAAATTCCTCTCTTTCCTGATTTTCTCTCTCTCCTAATCTCTCCTCCACTTTCTCTCCACCCTCTGTTTACTACCTATTTACACATCTAATCAATCCATGGATGTCTATCCATCTATCCAAACATACTTCCATGTGTCTTTTGCTTTGTTATTAAAAATATATGAGGTGAAAAAAGGAAAGAATACATGTGTGGCTTGTCTCTGTGTGTATCTATCTAAAATAAGATAGAAATATACACACAGATACATTGTGTACACTCAAACATATTTGGCTCTTTCATCATTACTTATTTGTAATTACATCATTTCTCCTCTTCTATGTGGAAAACAAACAAACAAAAAAAACCACATAGTTGATTGTGGTGAGAATAAAAACACAGATAATAAGAAAAAATTTAAAAAATTCTAAGAAAAGATCTGAGTTTATTTCAGAAAGTCTTTTCTGTATAATTAGTTTAGTAACAGTCCTTTATGTGAGAGTAGGGGAGATGCTATTTTCTAGCTCTGTACCCTTGGGCATGTCACTTACCACTACTGTCCTCAGTTCTATCCTCTGTAAAAGAGAGATAATAATGGTAATTATTTCATAGGGTCGTTTTGAGGATTAAATGTGTTAATATTTATAAAAAGCTTTGAAAAGTAGTTGGGATGCAAAACACACCTTATGCATTAGCTGTTAACTTATGGTCTGAATACTACACTCACAGAAATAAAAGCTCATGAAAAGAAGGGATTTGCTTTTATGTTCATTGCTGTTTCCCAGTACTAAGACTAGTGCCCTAAAATTGAAGGTATCCAATAATTATTGTTTTGGAGAGGCATAATAATGTCCTAGTTAAGAACACTGATCATGAAGACAGACTTCCTGCATTGAAATACTGGATCCAATACATATTGCCTGTTTTACTTTTGCAAGTTAGTTAGCTCTGTGCTTTATTCCTCAAATATCTAAAATGTGATAATAATAAAAATGCCCAACTTATACTATTGGGATGATTAAATAAATTAATATATGTAAAGCCATGATACATAGTGAGTGACATTGCTACCACATTACCTGATGCCAAAAGAAATCATTCACATAGTGTTATACGTGCATAGAATGTGCTCCCTGGAGTTGCACAACCCAGCAGCCCTTGCAAGAGCTACTTATATTTAACCATTATTGCCTGTTGATAGCCAGAAGTAAAGTTAATAAATATTTAATGGCCTAAATAATACTGTTATAAGCCAACTACAAAACACATTTCATAAATTATTTACATAGCTGTGTTATTCTTCAAAGAAAAAATTAATAAAACAGTTGGGTCTAACTCAATGAAATCTTTCTGCCTTGTTTGATCCTCTGGATTTTGCTTTCTGATGCCTATTTGATTTTTTCCCCCTTCTAAACATGATTACCTTTTTTAGCTTTGACTTTCACGTTAGATCTATATTTTTCTCATGTCCACATATTCCCAAGATACCTTGGTACTTTCCTACCTTCTCCAAAAATCGAATAGCTTCTGGCTGTAGTATTTTCACAATTAATTTAACAAGACTGAGAGAACTTCCTTAATCTCTTTGTGCTTTGTCATGTCATATTCTCCAGTGCCTGCCTATACATTTAAAAATAATATTAATTTGGAATTTTACCTTGGAACTATCTATATTATCTCATAAGCTTTGAATTTCTTCTTTAGTTTCAATTCAGAGTAAAAGAAATCTTCTACATGATAATCTTGGTCTCATCCTAGTTTAGAAACACCACAAACTCTTGAATAGGCAAATGAGTAACTTTTTTTCTTAAGCAAGATAATGAATTTGCTTCTTTATTGGTCAACTTTTTTTTTAAATTGATAATTAACCGCATTATTACAACTCAGTTCAAAATTAGGATTCTGATTTTTATTGCTTATGGAAATGGCAGAAGGGTAACTAACTGATCTATGTGTGTCCCAATTAGTACATCCCTGTATATTCTAATAAAATTTGATTATTTTTCTAGAACTCTCTTTAGAAATAGAGCTTTGAAATCCCAGTTCATTAAAAATTATTGAGAGAGAGAGCCATAACTCATAAAAACTATTACTATCTATAAAAATAAATATTACCAAGGAAAATTTTCACTATAGGCCATAAAATTATACTAACGTTGAAATTTGAGAATAATTTTTTTCTGAGTACTTTAAGGTCTTTAATAAGAACAAATATTTGTTGATGAATATCTTGGTTGAATCAATATACCAAAAGTTAGAATAGTGGACTATCTTTTTTCTCCCTGTTGATTCATTCCTTCAACAAATACTTTTGCTATTGTTTACCAAGTACTTGTAAATGAATAAAGAAAGAAAAATTCCTGTTCTTATAAAGTTTGCAATCTATTATGATAGGACAAAAAATAAATAGTAAATAAATAAGTAATTACACAGTATATTAGAAGATGATACATGCTATAGAGAAGAAAAATATAGATCGGTCAAGTTTAGGGATTTTTGAATGTCTCTTTGTAAGGAAGAACTTGCAGTTTAATAGTTAGAATAGACTTTGTTGAGAAGATTATATTTAAACAGTAACTTGAAACAAAATAAGTGTTAGAACCTTGGGAATATTTAGAAGATATATATATATATTTTTTTTAAAAGCATCAAGTATAGGTTTCCTACATTAGGAACCTCACGAGCCTGTTCACAGAACACCAACAAAAGCAGTGTGGCTACTACTGAAGGAGATGAGATCTAGGCAGGGACCAGATCAAGGAGAACCTTTTATACTGTTGTAATTAGCATTTATTTTGAAATAAATGAGAAGATATCATTAGATTTTGTGTAGATAAACTTCATTACATGACTTTCATGTTAATAAGTTCTACTACTCTATGTAGAATAGAATGGGGGGATGGGAAGGAGGCAAGGTTAGGAGCTGGCAGTAGTTTCAGTGACTTATATAGTTATATAATATGTAATAGTTATATAGTTATATAATGGATGCATTTGAAGGTGAGGCCAGCACAATTTCCTGATAAATTGGATATGGATCTTAAGATAGAGTTAAGCATGACTTTGATTGGCCTGGGGAACTGGAAAGACAGAGTAGACATCAACTGAGAGTGAGAATATTGTATAGATGCATTTGCTTACCCAACCTCCAATAGTTCATGGGGTTCGTTTCCCCCTTAGCGCCATGTACATAGACTATTAAAATTGGAGATTTTTTCAATGCAGATATTAGGTTTAAAACAAATGCATTAAGTAAAATCTAAAACTCATACATATACTTTATCTTTTTTCTAGTGAGGAGTGTTATTAACTCAGTCGCTTGTGGAAGGATCAGCAGTGCTACTGAATGCAGTATTTGAGGAGCAAATCTGTATTATCTCAGCTTTGACTTGAATCACTCTATTTGTAGGTAGGGTTGTCCTCATTCAAGAGAAAGGGAAGAGTTTTGTGGGGAGGTGCTTATTAAAATAATACTTAAAAATAAGCCAGATACACTATAGTGTCATATTTTTTTTAACTCCACAGAGAACTGAAGGCTCAAAATTAAATCACCAAATTCCAAAAAAGAATGAACCCTTCTCATAATAAAAGAGTCATATGACTGTTTTCATTCCTGAGGGCACTGCAGCAGAAGGAGGCAATTTGCCTGAGGAATGAGGAGGAACCAGTCCAATTTTTAACAAACTTAATGGCCAAATATGGGTTGGAGTGGTAAATTAGAATTCCAAGGTGTCTCTCTCACAAGGCAATTCTATACTGTCAACCAATCTTACAGAGGGACTTCACCAACTGCAAGGTCATGGTCTGACAAAGATTGCAATAAAGAGGAGACAAAGCTTCACACCAAAGCTTTTTGGACTTTCATCTAACTATACTGCTACAGGTGACTGGGAGCAGGGCACCAATATGGAGAGACATCTTCAGAACCACAAAGAGCTGGAATAGTAAAGAGAATACCTCAATAACCCCACAAAGCCCAGAGATCCAGCTCACCTGTAAATTACATAGCCTAAAGCCTTCACACAAACAGAGGAAAGAGCAGGGATTTCCTAGAAGTGTGTGTGTGTGCGTACATACACCATATATAAATGTGTATATTTATATCTATATATTGATACCAAAATATATATGATATGTGTTTGATAGCACAAGCTTGTTGGAGAAATTTCTATGACTTAAGAGAAAAGAATACCACACAGCAGATCAATTAACTGAAGATGATGTTAAATTTGAAATTTTAGTGAGGTATCTGTGTAGCATTTAGAGACCAAAATAAAAAGAAAGGAACCCTCTGGATTTTTGGTAAATGGCATGCCAGTTTGAAAGGACTCCTGGATCCAGGGTCTACATACTGGGGTGATTGAATAGCATCTGCATTTCTATTCCAACTCTTGCTCTACATGGCAAGAAAATTTACTCCTGTGTTAGCCTCTGATCATCAACCGGAACCATCAGGACTCATAATCCATTAGATGCTTTTTGTTATAGAAATGATGTTCCAGTATCCTCAAAAGTGGATCCAATGGAAAAAACACTAAAGAAGCTTTTGATCATTTGCATTTTCACTATCTGTCTCTTTACTTCTAATAGAACTGGGTAAAACTGAATAAGAAAAAGATGTCCTTCTTCCCCATACCTTGTTTCAAGAAGCATATGAAATCCCCCTTCCCTCTATTACTTTCTGGAGTGGGGTTTTCCTGGCCAACCCCATCCCCCAGCAGCACTGAGAAATGTCTATCCACCAAGGGATTCTTTTTTCTTTTTTGTCATCCTTGTTTAAACCAAAGATTTCACTCCCTACAAAACTACTTCCTGAAAGAAGAAATGAGTCTTCTTTGGAACTGAATTCTGCAGGTAAGTCTTCTGAAGATACAGAACCCAAGCCAGTTGGAACTAACAATGGTAATCACATTTAAAATCCTGTTTTATGTAATGGTTTCATTTTACCCAAGACTTCCCATTTGTAGAAACCATAGATTCTAATGCTTTATCAAAGTGATCACTAGAAAAATGTGATGTTCTTGGCATGTTGTAAATATTAGGAAATTTCCCCTATTACTCTTCTTAGTTTGATTTAATGTGTGTGTTCATTTCAAAATATAAGTTGAATATATACACAGTCAATGTGTATTAAAAATATAATATCACACACACACAAAAAGAATCCAAGAAATCAATGTTTCTGTCTTCTTTCGTAAGTCATTTTGTGTTCTCTCTCTTTTACTTTAACAGCTATGAATTGGATGATTATACATTTTCTCAATTTAAGCCTGGATCAAATTATAACTCCTAAGATAGGATTTTATAATTAAAGATGATCTATTAATTATGATTATATGAATGACTTATTTCCACTTTATTGAACTCTCTAGGTTTTATTGTATTGCAAGTAGTCCATCATGATGTGATCAAATGGACAACTATAAAGTAAGATATAATAGGCATTTTGCATAAGTAAATAACTAGATACATTTTAAACTATACAGGACATTTCTGTCTTCTAAAATTTTATGAAATATTTGTGAAAGTTCTTGCAGAATATATAAATATTTTTCATTGGTATAAATAAACAAAACAAAGAAATAAATAAATAAGACTTGGAGTCCCTGGAAAAATATTATAATGGAAAAATGATTCTTTATTCTTTCAGTAAAATGACAACTTAGAAGAGATCAGTTTGCCTAGATATATATCTTTGCAATTCAGAAAGCTTTTTAGGAGCATTGAGCTACAAACAGGTCTGTCATATCCCAGTCTCTAATTCCTTTGGAAAACCTGAAGCTCTAGTCCTCATTTTATATTATATCTAACTAAATTATTCATTGCATAGAGATGCAATGAATAATTGCATAAACATGCATAGAGATGCATGTTTCTCTATCTCTAAGAAACTAAGAACAAAAGAGTTTCAAAGAAAGTGCTTTGTGTCTATTCTCTTTCTTTCTCCCTTATTTCTATTCTCATTCTGTTTAAGACCTTCGTCTCCCATTCTTTTGGTTAGTTTCAGTGTGCTGATATGCCTCATGAGTTAGCCAGTGTAGGGGTGAAAACTTACTTTATATAGTATTTAGAGTGCTTTTCAGGGGCTGCTGCTCTGGTGTTCTTGACACAGAGAGATGGACTAGTGAGAGGAGCAAAAACCAAAGGGACAGACACTACTCATTTTACTTCATTGTAATCAGCTCAAATTGAAATTTCACACTTTGGTTTTGAGTTTAAAAAGTAAATACATATTGCTACTGCAGATTTTGTTACCTTTATCAGCTATATAGACCAATCAGACTTTCTGCTCTTACAGCATGGTAGTATCTTCCAGAAGGGAGGGAAAAGGTAGAATGGGCAGTTGTCTCACAGAACAGAGGAGGAAGGTGAGTTTCCAACCAACAGAAAGGAAACTAGAAACATTATTCTCAGCCCAACTCCTCAAGAGAATTATGATTCCTTCAGAAGGCAGAAGAAATAAAGAGATAAACAAATATGTGAATAAAGAGATGAATAAATGCTGAAGAAAGGGCTAGTGTAAACACTGGAAGACACATTAAATCTTCCAGGGAAATGCAATGTTGTTAGCATATGAACTGAATAAGATTTTATGTAAAATGTTATATTCTTTAAATTGATTGGCATCCCTAAAAAACAATGTAGATACCTATGTAAATGCTTTGCATAAAGACTTTTTATTAATAAGATTGTAATTGGGGAGAATTTGAGGGCAAAACTTGAAAATATGATACTTTTTGCATCTAAAAGATAAAATGTTAAATTATGTGCTTAAGCATGTTTTGTTAGAGTTGAATTAACTCTTACTTTTTTATTTAAATTGTGAAAAAAATTGTGAAAAGACTGTCAAATAAAAGTCAGAAAGACATTTTTGTACATTATAAACCCTGAGTTAATTTCAATTCAAACCTACAAGACCTATTATATATGTTGCCTTGAGGACGTTACCAAATCTCCTGTGGTTACACTTTTCTAATATGAAAGATAGAAATAATATTAAAAATGATTGTACTTGCTTCATAAAACTATTGTAGGAATCCATGAAAATAATATATTTAAAGCATTTTCTGAATTTAAAGAACTATACATTTTAAAGTATAATTAATTGTAAGCTCTATTGAATATTATGTAAACTACTAGGGAAAATATTTCTCACTATTAGCATATTATCAAGTTCATTTTTCTTGCTGAAAGAGGTCAGAAGAGGAGTTTGAAAATTTTATTTGGCATGCTATAAAATATTTTTATAGGATTATTATAAATAATTATAATATTATAAATTCTTGAGGAATTTATACCATTTACACAAGCTTCTCAAAGAAATGGCCAGAAAGAGAGTTGCCCTCTTTCTGAGGAGGCTTTTTAATTTGATTGCAGTATCTCTTTCTAGCTGATTTATTATAGCATTTATATGCATCAAGTGTTATGAAAGAATATTATAATTTTCTGGCTAATTTAGGCCACAAAATCCCATTAAAACTAAAATATCTAGATACAAAAAATGCTCACTGTGTTAATTAAGTGTACATTATTATTTACAGCCCCTTTTCTCTTATAAAAATCCAAAAAGTTTATTTTTAATCACTAAGCAAAGAAGTGAGGCAATATAAGTTAAAAACCTAGATTTAAAAAGCTTTTAAATTTAAGTATATCTATAATAATATATTATTTTGGGTTTCCAGAAATAGCTGCCAAATCAAAAGTACTTCCTCAAATAGCAGTGCATAAAAATTCTGTCTGCTAGAGAAATCTTGTTGAGTCAAAGTATATCTCTGAAAAGCTCCAGTTAATGGGAAGATGCCACATAAATTTGTTATATTAGTCTTTTAGCAAACAATTATTGAATATCTACTGTATTTCAAACACAAAGATGATATGCTATGATTTCCACTCTTTAGTTTACAGCACTGGGTAGATATTGACATTCACACAAAGATTGCAGTAAGATGTAGTTAGTCCACTAATTGTAGTCCCCAAAAGAGAGAATGACCAACGTTGCTGCAGGGGTCCCAGACATTCTTGCAGAGGTGACAGTTAATCAAGGTTTTGTCTAGGGAAATGGAATATATATTTGAAGGAACTGAAGCATGAAAATTCACATGAAATGTGTTTGGGAAAATGACAGGTATTTCACTGTGGCTGCAGCATAGAATTCTTGGTGGGAGTAAAATATATAGCTAAAAAGTGTATTTAATCAAACAATGAGGAACCAATAAAGAGATCAGAGTCAAGAGTGATCTCATCATATTTGCATTTTAGGACACTATTTTGGCAGCCAAGTTATCTAATTTATTAATAGAATTGGATAGGGATGTACTGGAAAGGCCAAAAGGGTAGGTGCTGTGAGAATAGAAACATTACTTGAAGACAGAATGCTTGGAGTAGAAATGAGAGCTTGCAAAAGTTATAATGAGAAAATATAGAAAATGTTTCCTTAATTCATAACTTTCCCCCAACATCATTGTTACATGTCATCGTGTCAAATAAGACTAATTTCAGCTGTTACTACCTCTTCTTCCACCCCAGATTTATCAGCCCTATTCTGGGCTTGACTATATGGTTCCTCTTTGGAATTTGTGGATTTAACATTCCTGGTTTCAGCAGGCATTGAGAGACTGTGAAAGTCCATATCAAGCAGTAATTTTTTACATGAATTTAAGGACTTTAAGGCCAATAAACAAAAATGAATCACCAAAGGAATACTCCAAGCAAAATATCCCATTTTAATACTTCAATTTAACTTTTTAAAAAGTCCCATTGGTCTTTGAATAAGTTGTACCCATTGAAAAAGACACCTGCACTTAAATGTTTATAGCAGCGCAATTTGCAATTGCAAAGTTGTGGATAAAACCCAAGTGCCCATCAATTCATGAGTGGATTAATAAAATGTGGTATATGTATACCATGGAGTACTATCAGCTTTAAGAAACAATGGTGATATAGCATATCTTGTATTTTCCTGGATAGAGCTGGAATCCATTCTACTAAAGGAAGTATCTCAAGAATGGAAAAACAAGCACCGCATGTACTCACCAGCAAATTGGTATTAACGGATCAACATCTCAGTGGACATATAGGAATAACATTTATTGGGTGTCGAGCAGGTGGGAGGGGGCAGGAGGGGAGGGGGCAGGAGGGGATGGGCTTATACAAACACAATGAGTGAGATGTGCAATGTTGGGGGGATGGTCACGCTTTAGGCTCTGACTCGAGGGGGGAAGGGGGACATGGGCAATATACATAACCTTAACGTTTGTACCCCCATAATATGCTAAAATTAAAAAAAGGAATCAACAAGCAAACAAACAAAAAACACCTTTCTGTTATTTAGTAAAATATAGTCCTAAAAAAAAAAAAGCCACGCATAACTAGGGAATATATGCATTACCTCAAGTATTTATCTCTTGCTATACAATAGATCCCTTGAACTTATTCCTCCTATCTAAATGAAGTTTTGTATCCTTTGACAAACATCTCTCTAATCTCCCACCTCCATCCCAGCCCCTGGTAATCATCATTCTATTCTCCTCTACTTCTATGAATTCAACTTTTTAGTTCTCACATATGAGTGAGAACATGCAATATTTGCCTTTCTGTGTCTGGCTTAATTTCCTTGTGTATATTTACCACATATTGTTTTCTACTCATCCATTGCTGGATACTTAGTTTGACTCCATTTCTTAACTATTCTGAATAATGTTGCAATAAACTTAGGAAGGCAGTTATCTCTTTGACATATGGATTTTATTTCCTTTGGATAGATGCCCAGTAGTGGGTTTGCTGGATCACATGTTGTTCTATTTTTAATTTTTTTATGAACTGTTTTCCATAGTGATTGTACTAATTTACACTCCCACCAACAGTGTGCAAGGGTTCCCTTTTCTGCATATCCTCTCCAATACTTGTTATACTTTATCTTTTTTATAATAGCCATTCAGAGGTCAGGTGATACCTCATTGTGGTTTTAATTTGCATTTTTCTGTTGATTAGTGATGTTGAGCATCTTTTCACATACCTGTTGGGCATTTGTGTGTCTTCTTTTGAGAAATGTCTATTTGGGTCTTTTGCCCATTTTTTAATTGGGTTATTTGGTTTTGTGCTAATAAGTAGTTTGAGTACTTTATATATTTAGGATATTAACCAGCTATCAAATATACAGTTTACAATTTTTTCCTACCATTCCATAGGTTACCTTTTCATTTTGTTAGCTGTCTTCTTTGCTGTGAGGAAGCTTTTTAATTTAATCTAACCCCGTTTGTCTATTTTTGCTTTTGTTGCCTATGATTTTGGGTCATATCCAAAAAAAATTGTTGTCTAGACCAATATTATGGAGATTTTCCCCTATGTTTCTGGTTTTGAAAGTGGGGAGTGTCCTATAACACTTACTCAGTTTTGCTTTTCTGTTGATAAATACCACCATGGACTATTTATTACCTCCAGTGTCACAGATGAGCCTACACAAAATTCCTATTTCAACGAAGGTGAGCCACGCTCAACCAAAGGGCAAAACATTCTGCCTTTTCAGTAAGAAGTGTTTGAAGATTATTAATTTGTCTTTTAGTCATCTCATGTGTACTGAGGAAAATTTTAAAGACTGAGCTGTTGGTTTTTCAATGTTCTAGTCACCAAAGTTCCTGGTAAATGTTTAAGTAAAAAAGCAACTGTAGCTAATCATCTCATTTAAAAGTCAGTTTAAACACGTGATCATTCAAATGTGTAGCTGAAGTATATTAGCAAGGAACTGACACTCATAGTTCCCCAAAGATCTTTCGCTTTGCTTGGCTGACTCTGCAACTCCAGTAAAGTGCAGCCAGACTATAGGAAAAAGAAATAAAGTGAACACTTTTCCTCCTCATACCTTTGCTGCCGTTTGCATTTCACCACTCAGCTTATCGAGATGAAATCTATTACTCGGCAGGCACTGCTTGCACAAATGAAAGATAAATTTCTCTTCCAGATGGGACAGATCAGTGAGACTCATAAAATATTAATGATGAAAGCTCTGGGAATTAGATATATCCCTGACCATAGGTTTCTCTCAATAGTGAAGCACAATTTTAACCCATTTTTTTCTGTAAGATTCCCATCAAGAATGATATGAAGAGAAAAGAATACATGATTTAAGATTCATATGAGGGAAGATTTTTAGGAAAGGTAATCTGTCTTTCATTTTCTTTCATGTTTTGTGTTCCTTATCTGCCATAAATTTTGCTGTGTGATGTAGTGTGGTCGATTTGATTCTTGAAGCTCTTCATGTGCTCATAAAGGAAATTGCCTGGGAATAATGCAGGAAGTATACATTTCTTACCATATAATTTAACATACAATATAGCAGTAGCTAACATTTATATGACTGAAGTGTTCATTTATGCAAAAATTAGGTATGTGTTGAATGAGTATTCAAAATCTATTGTATTAATGAGGAACTTCACTTTCACTTGTTCAGATTTTGTTATCTTGCAAACTTTCCATAACCATTACAAATCTACAATGATTTTTAGGTTACTATTTCTGTAGAATGTATCATCAATTACCATTAATTTGAAACTCTTTGAACATGTGGTTTCATTTTATACAGAAACAAAGTTTACATTTATAAAATCTAAAGATGATAGAAATTTTAAATTGTCTTCTTATGGCAACCTGATTACTTGTAATGTATTACATACGTTTATAAAAATATATTTATGTGTTATATATTTAGGTATCTACGATGTATTTGAATATTGGAAATTTGTTGAAAATATTAAATAATTCCATTAGCCAAGTTATAGCAAAATCTATATGAAATACCTTTTCAATTATTTTAAAAACTCTTCAAAATATTTGATGTTAGCATAATTATTTGTAGTGTGACCCAGAGTATTTTTAATTATGCTAAAGAACAAAAGTATATAGGACTAACCAGTGTTCATAATAATGCCTGAGAAAGGAGACAATTACCCCAAAATGAAAATAAAATCATCTAAATCATGTCTATTATTATTTTTGGTCACATTGAAGATGTCACCTAATTTTGCTAAATATTAATAATCAGAAAAACTAAACTTTCTTTCTCATTCATACTCTTCATTTCTGTACATACATGGGGCACATTCTTATAGTAATTTTATTTGCTTTTTGATAGCAAAATATTTATAAAAAGAAAATACATGATTTAATTTAATCAGAGGAAATTATCATTGTTTAATTACTCTTTACTTGATTGAATGTCTGGTTTAACATGTATCTCTTCCCAGGTACATGATATATATGAGAAATTATCAGTCAAATATAATCTTCATAAACCACTAATGGGATGCTAAGTTCCTTTGACTACAGTGTTTTCAAGTTTCTAGTTGAAGATATACATACAAGAATAAACCAGCAAATTTCATTTTGTTAATTATTCTTTATTTATTTCAACGTACATATACTTAAAGAAAATACACATGATTTTTTTTTGAGACAGAGTCTCACTTTGTTGCCCAGCTACAGTGAGTGCCATGGAGTCAGCCTAGCTCACAGCAACCTCAAACTCCTGGGCTCAAGTGATCCTCCTGCCTCAGCCTCCCGAGCAGCTGGGACTACAGGCATGCACCACCATGCCTGGCTAATTTTTTCTATATATATTAGTTGCCCAATTAATTTCTTTCTATTTATAGTAGAGACGAGGTCTCGCTTTTGCTCAGGCTGGTTTTGAACTCCTGACCTTGAGCAATCCACCTGCCTCGGCCGCCCAGAGTGCTAGGATTACAGGCATGAGCCACTGCACCTGGCCAATACACATGATTTTAAAGGCATGTTATGTTTAGAGAATTTCTTCACGTATCTATTGTATTATACCTGCACAGTTTCCTTCTCAATATGCTTGTTGATATAGTCTGGCAGACATTCAATAGCAAACTTTGTTCCAAGTAATTAATTTATAATATTGTAGCAGGAACCAACTCTTGAATGTTGTAACCCTTTATATGTGATAGAAAAGTCAATAGCATGGATAAATGTGTAACAAACTTGGTTGTGCACTTTTTAGGTGAAGTGAACCTCAATAATATTAACTGAAGTTATTTTCTTAGGGCAAGTAATCCTATGTTTAAGTGGAATATTATGAAATACATTTAATTTATTTACTAGCACAGATAAAATCAATGGTCAGGTTAAAAGAAAATTATATATATTTAATTTTGTATTATGTTATATAAGATATAATTCAAACATTTAATTTGACTATTCTTAATGAGAAATTTAACTTAATAGAAATATTCTGTGATATATCTTGTATATACTGATAAAGTATGTTAAAAAGCTTATTCTATATTATTCTATCAATTTAGAAACATTTAATTAATATAAGCATAATACAATTTGACTGAAAATAGCAAATTGTCTAGAATACTTTTTATTTTATTTTTTATCCATAATGAACCAATAGATTTTATTAGTAATATTGGAATTTCTTTTTTCCAGGGTGCCAATGGTTTCTGTGCAGGACAGATTATGACATCATCTTTCTTAAGGTGAGACTGGGTGTCATCCACGGTAGTATTCTGAGGGTCTACAAATATTTTTATACATTATTAAAAATATTCTATAAGGAAAATTCTTTTGGAGTAACTCCACATGCCTAAATAGAGGGTATTTTCTCATTAGTTTTATGTACACAATTCTATTTGTTCTATAGTGCTACTTTCACAAAAATCTCTAGAAGTTTTTTGGAAATTTCTGAGTACAAAACATGTAACTTTATATTTTCATTAGAACCTGGAAATGTACTCTCTAAAGAAAATAAGGACACAGAACAAAAATAAAATATTCTAATACAACTAATACAATTAAAGCATCTCCTAGAGAGTTCACACACATGTGCAGACACATATACACATGTTATTATTTTTAACTTTCTACTAAAATACAAATACATTAGGCTGTTTTAATTCCCATGAGCCTTCTGGATTCTTGTGTTAATGAGTATTTTTGTTATATCTTATTAATCTATGAGTTATAAATTATTATTATTGTAAGATAGTTATATTAGATTTACTCAAATACTTGCTACTTTTTTTCCCACCATTTCTTCTTTTCAGAACTTGCATCTTATCTATCTGCTAGAAGTATATTCTTTAGAAATTTCTTTAATAAGGGTTTGCCCATTTTTCTTTGAGAGTGTTTGTATTTTGCTTTCAATCTTAAAAAAATAATTTTCATGAGCTATGAGTCTAGATTGTCAGTAATTTTTCTTGTACCATTGAATATTTTATTCTATTGTTTTCTGGCTTCCATTTATTAATGGAAAGTCAATTGTTAGTCTAATTCTTATATTGGTGTAGATAATTCGCTATTTCTCTTTGCTTCTTTTAAAATCTTCTCCTGATCTTTGGTATTCTGAAAGTGGTTATGACATGATTGGGTGTATTTTTATGTATCCCACTTTAGAATTGTTGGCCCTCTTGAAACTGAGCGTGGTTGTTTTTTGGTCAGTATCTCCTTTAATGTAACCTCTTTCGTGTTTCTTTATCTTCCATGTCTCTTAATTGTTTTCATATAATTTCATTTCTGCTTAATGCTTTGAATCTATGTCCAGTTCACTGATTTGATCTATATTTATAATTTCTTTTAAATTAATCTATTTTTATAATTTTAATCTTTACTATTTTGTATTAAAAATAGCATGAATTGATTCACAGCTCAGATCTTTAGTAAGGATTAATTTTAATTTTTAATTGTCTTAGTTTTGTTTTTGTTTTTCTACAAGAAGCACTAAGGACTGTATATTTCCTTTTAGACTCTTTTTCACCTGAAAAAGAGTTCATTTCAAATGAGGTTCATTTCCCATTTTATGAGGAGAGACAATGTCTTCTATTATACTTCCACAATGGGTAGGCCACAAGGTTTATCTCCTCACTTTGTTCCGCGTGAAGCAGTCAATGTAGAATCTATAGCATTCTAAGATTTGGTAGGAATTCTCACACTGAAAGCTGGCTTTGGGGATTACTTACCTCTCAGGATTCCTGCTTTTACTTTGATAGTAGTCTTTGCAGATTTTTTTTCTTTCATGCCAGATCATAGATTCTTATAAAGCATAAATATATACATATATGTATACGCAAATTTTTCTTGTTTTTATTTTTCCATAGAGAAAGTTACTCTGGCTATACCAATCCAATATGCTGGCTTGAAGCAAAAACAAAACAAAACAAAAAAAAACTAGTTTTTGATTTCTAAAGATGCTAAAAGCTCTAATTTCTAAAGATTCTTCACATTTTACAGGCAGTATAAATAGTGTTATTTTTCTCCTTTGACTTAACTTCAATCACTGACCTCTACTAAAATTTTATTTCAAACTACTTTCCTGCCTTACAAGTCTCCAATCTTTTCTTTCCATTATTCTGATATGTTTCTGTTACTTCTTTCTCTTCCCTGAAGCTAGGCCCTTAACACATTAATCTCACTAAACTATTAGGCCCTGTCAACAGAGAAAATGGGTGTGATTTTTGATTGACTTTGAAGAAAATAAAAAGTATAATTTATGTTCCTCTTCTAATCTTTTAGACTCCTCAAGCACACAATATTACTTTTGTTGTAATATAACGAAATTATCATTAATACATACTATTTAACTAAGCAGGCCATTTACAGAATGTGAATTCAGGCTCTTTAATGAAGTTACCCATACAGAGTAATTGAAAAGGGGGGTTAAAATTGGATAGACATATGCACAAGTCTTCTCTTTACCCATGTGGAGGATATATATGTCAAGCAGCTGTTATTGACACTTCCTAGCATAAAAATTTCAAAAGCTTTTGTTGACTAAATTTGGAGACTGACACTTTTATATTGGTTTAAATCATCCAGAATCATCTATAAACACTAGTTTTATAACATTCACATGCTATCATTTTTAATATAAATCCTTTTTTTACCTTAAAATGCTACCTGCACTGTATTATTTTTTCAAAAAAATTAATATGAAAATGCCATTACAAAAAGATTCAATTCATAATAGGCTGTTTTTTGAGAGAAGTAGGAGGAGATTTTCAAACCTAAATTTCAATCCATGAGTACTGAGTTTATTTTCATAACTCGTTTTTTTTAAATTTGTCTAACAGTGTCCAGTAACAATTAGAATTCACAGAAATCTATCTTCCTAAATATTTGTAATATATGTTATTCATTTTTTCTTTTACTATATGTCGGGTAGAACTCTTTAATTATATTTTCTACTTAATATATTTCCACTGTTCTAGCTACCCAAAGCTAAGCAAAAAACTTAATAGCAAAGTGCCAAGCAGAAGGAAGTATTTTATTCAAATACAGTTGAAATAACTACCTTTCTAGTCACACACTCACTTTTTGTTGCATGTCTTTACACAACATTAGAGCTGCGAGCCATTTTCAGTTCAAAATGACTTCATTTTTAATCTAAGTGCGATAAAATTTATGAGCAACTTAACCTCCCAAAAGCATCATTATCAAAACTATGGTGAGATTCTTCAAACTTTCAACCTCAAATTAAATTATAACAAAACCTTCAGTGGACATTCTCTTAAGTTAAAGTTCTTAGCTTCTATGTTTCTATGTGCCATAGAAACCATTGCTTTATATAAAATTGGCAAGTAAATTTTTGCTTAAAGATTAAATAAATGAATAGTAATAAATATTTGTGAATGCATACTGGGGATGGAATAAGCCTATTTTTCACTTATAATATAATAAGGCTGAGAATGACACAATACTGCTCGGGAAATAAAAGTATATTCAGTGCCTATGGGTTTCAAGTCTTTAGAACTGTACAGACACACATTATGTCATGAATGACAAGTTATAGTGATTTTTCCTTAGGTACAACTCCACTCTCAGAATGGAGAAATGTTGCAGAAAGAAAAAAGAACAGCAGTTCTTAAACATTTTGTTCTCAGTATTCCTTTACTTTCTTCAAAATTCTTGAGGACTCCAAAGAGCTTTGTTTATGTGGGTTTTATCTATTGATATTTACTGTATTAGAAACTAAAATAGAAATTTTAAAATATTTATGGTTTCCTTTAATAATAGCAAACACATTACTAGGAACATAAATAATACATTATTGTGAAAAATAACTGCATTTTTCAAATAAAATCAATATTAATAGGAAGCATAACATTGCTCTGCACTTTGCTAATCTCCTTAATGTCCAACTCCATAGAAAACAGCTAGAGTCTTATACATGCTTCTGTAGTCACTCTGTTTTCATATTAAACATCATGTAGCCTTTGGAAAACTCCACTGTACACTCTTGACAGATGAGAATTAAAAGACAAAGTCTTACTATCATTGTGGAAGTGGTATTGATATTGTAGTTCATCTTAAAAGTTGTTGGGGATCCCCAGGAGACCCAAATTACACTTTGAACACTGCTAACAATAGCTTAAGACAACATGTTTGCCCCATGAGTCTATAGTTGCCTGGGCAATTGTGCCAATCTGAGCTGGGCTTGGCTGGTCTCACTTAGTTTCCTCCTGTGTTTGTGGTCAGCTATTAGGTTGTCTAGAAGCTGGCTGCCCTAGGATGGCCTTGGTTAAGATGGTTAGGACCTCACTCCATATGACCTCTAGCAAAGGCATTTGGGTCTATTCCTGTGGCAGTGAGGGCAGGGTTTCACCAGGTAGAGTTCAAGCATGAAAAGACTCTTGAGTTCTAGGCTTAAAATTGCACACTATCAATTCTGCACTGTTTCAGCCAAAGTCTATTAAAAAGTCAGCCTAAATCTGTGTGGGAAACAGATTCCACCTCTTGATGAGGAAAGTTACAAAGTCATCTGGGAAGTGGAGTGCACACAAAGAAGGGTGAATAATACAGAAGATTTTGTCAGTCAGTCTACCTATCACAGCACCCTAGATTCCCAACACAAACATAAAGGTTCTTTGCCCCATCTTCAGTTGATTTAACTCCATTGTATATACTATAGAAATCTGAATAAGATCATATTTAGAAGAAATACTACTGTCATTTAAAATTCATTAGTTTTGACCCTGTACTCTAAATGCTTAGGTATAACCAGTGCTTCAGATATAACCAGGCCCTGAGAGACAAGCTCACATTAAACAAAATGCATGATACATTGAAATTGATAACAACTTTGTTAATATTTTTTAATTCACAAGAAGAAATATAAACCTCACTTGAACTAGAAATATATGGATGGACATAATCAGCAATATCTCTCACTGTATTCAAATAATACCGAGTACGATATGGATACACCATCAAAAATCTTTCACAGAGACCAGAAATAGAGAAAATACACATTTTGAACACATTTCCTTTAAGCAGACAAACATAGAAATCAGAATGTTGCCTCTGATTGTCAAAGTAGACAATAGGTGGTTAGATAAGTATAGATTTAATGACATCAAGTTAAAAGAAATGTATCTAATGTTAAGACGATTTTTTGTTTTTGTTTTTTCCCTTTCTAATAGGGTGAAAAATGCTTAAAACCTGTATACTGCATTCCTTTCCACCTCAGAGATAATCATACCAT